GCGCTTGCGGAGCTGCTGCCTCTGCAGCACGTGCTGCTCCTTCACCTGCTGCCTGAAGAGCTGGTACTTCTCCTGCAGGTGCCCTTGCTCCATGCTCCACACCACCGACTCGCGGGCTGCCGGACAAGACCGTGGCACCGTGACCACCTCCAACAAACCCCCAGCCAAACCCCTGGCTCCCCTCCCCACGAACCCTCCATCCTCCTCCTCCGCCCAGCCCAGCCCACCTCTCCTGAGGCTATGGATCTTGTTGATGCACTCCCAGTCGATGGATGTCATCTTCTTCTTGTGCTCCTGGACGACCCTCTGCAGGGCTGCGTTGAGTTCCTCCTGCTGCTGCTGCAGGAACCGCTGCTCCTGCGGCGAGCAATGAAGGGGCTTCATCCCAGCACCCCGGGCAGATGGGCCCCAGGCTCCGGGTGGCACAGCCAGCGCTGCCGACCCCTCACCTCTCTCGCATCACCCTTCAGCTCTTGCATCCTCCTCCTGCAGTCCTTCTCCTGGAGGGACTTGAGGCGCTTGGCCTCGTCTTGCAGCCTCGCCGTGTACTCGAGCTCCTGGCGCTCCTTCAGCTGCCGGTAGCACCGCTCCGAGCTCTCCACCTCCCGGTCGTAAAACCCCTTCTTGCTCTGCCATGCAGATATGGTTAATGGGGCTGCAGGGACCAGACGTGGCCACCAAAGCAACCAAACCCCCTCCCAGACCCTGGCATCTCCCGCAGTGGGACCCCAGTGTCCCCTCGCATCCCTCTCTGACCGTATCACGGCACCAAGGGACGATGGTCCGGTTACCATCATCTCCTGCTCGATGTGACGGAACATCTGCTCCCGCTGCTGGTGAAACTTCTGCTCCAGCTGGCTCTGAGCTCGCTGCTCTTCCTTCTGCAGCACTCGCAGCTCGCGCAGCTCCTGGCGCCTAAAGGTTTGGGGAATCGGGGTGAGAGGGGGATGAAGGTGTCCCTGGAGGCACCTCTGTCTCCCAGGATGGCTGACTTGTAGGTGGCTAAAGGAGGGGAGCAGCTCAGCCCTGGTGCAACATCATGGAGAAGACTTTCTCCAGCAAGAAGGAAGATGGGACGCCAGTTGGGTCCGTGGTGGCCACGCTCCCAAGCTCAGCTGATATTGCTGCCCCTCCATCTCCCCCTTCATCCTTTCCTACTCTCCCTGGGTGACGTGAGAGCTTATGGGAGAAGATCTTCCCCTCTTCTTTCCTTAAGGTAGCTGCTGGACACACCAGATATGGGGCTGGGCAACGTTTGGGTTCCTCATCTGTCCCTACTGCACAGCCCTGAGGATGCAGGGAAAGCCTTGCTCATGCTCTCCTGCGGGAGCGGACCCCGCCCGGGGGGCAGATGGGTTTTCCAAGCCTGGAGGTCATAGAATCATGGAATCGTTTAGGTTGGAAAAGACCTTTAAGATCATCCAGTCCAACCATTAACCTAACATTACCAAGTCCACACTAAACCAATGAAACCAATCAAGGGTAGAGTAGACTAAGCCATGTCCCAGAGTGCCACGTCTGCCCGTTTTTTGAACACCTCCAGGGATGGGGACTCCACCCCCTCTCTGGGCAGCCTGGTCCAATGCTTGACTACCCTTTCCGTGAAGAAATTTTTCCTAATATCCAACCTAAACCTCCCCTGGTGCAGCTGGAGCCCATTTCCTCTTGTCCTAAAGTAAGGTCAAGTACTTGTGCTTTGCGCAGAGCCCCACAGACCCATCCTCCCTCTCCCCTCTGCCCCTGGTCCTCCTCACCCAGAATGGGGTGGAAGATGCCTGGTGGCCCCTCCACTACCAGCATCGCTCACCGAGCCGAGCGCACCATCTCATCCCTCGCCCCAGCCTTGTCGACGGTCCTGGCGGTCGTCACGCTCACCTCCTCCCCATCCACCACAAACCTCCGGGTTTTCTTAACCGTCCTTTGGAGCAAGGCAGGTTCCTGCAACCGGGAGCAATGGTTTGAAGCTCAGCTGTCCCAAAACTACGTAAACCCAACATGGGAGCCCATGCAAGGGGGGGGCAGCTTCACATGGCCATGTTACCTCCGCGCTTCTCACCTGCTGGGCTTCCGCAGGAGAGGGGAAAGGCTGCGCTGCTGCAGGGATGGCGCTCGGACCTTGTACAGCTGCAGGGTTTTCCACAGGGGACGGCTCCTCTCCTTGCTTCGACGTGACGGATGGATCTGGTGTGTTCCCTACTTCCCACGCTGCCTGCGCCTGGGAAGAGGTGCGGACAAGGGCAACGTGAAAGCTCACAGTCTTTGTGGCCTTTGGATGTCCACCAAGGGCCTCCTGGGGCTCTGGCTCTGCTCTGTGACGCTCCAAGCCACCCTCCTCCTCTCCAGGACCACCCCTTGATGGCCCTTCAGGAGCTGGAGCAACCTGCACCCTGTCTTCTCCAAGCTCGCCATCATTTCCATCTTGTCCTTTCCAGCCATTCCCATGAGCAGCTCCTGGCTGGTTGTCTCTGGGGCTGTTTTCTGCTTTCTCTTCTGGTTCTTCTTCA